ACAGTTTGTTTAGGTTTGATCAGCTATACAATTTAAATTTTTAACATACTACTAGGAATAACAAACACAGAACCAATTTCTGGTGTGTATAAACAAAAATGATCTCTGCACAAATGTTTTCTAACTCCTTCTGAGTTCTTCAAGTACAATAGAACAGTTACTTGATGGAACGTCCTTCAGAAGAAATGTGAATTTATAAAAGTTTTTTTTTATAAATTCACTGAAGAACTAGGAGGAGTTAGAAAATGTTTGTGCAGAGACTGTTTCTTGTTTATACACACTGGAAATTGGTTCTGTATTTGTTATTACATTATCCTGGTATGGTGTGATGTAACATTACTAGTAAAATACAGAAAAATATTATAGTATGTGTTGTTTAATATGGCAAAGATTGGAATTAAAATATTTGTAGTAGCTTTGTAAAATGAACACACGAGTGATGTATTGTGTTATAGGTAGTGTTATTGTGATTGGAGGGTCTCCACCTCTTTGATACCTTGTCAGGACTGACACCACCATGTCTCGTTCGACATGAAAGCTGCAACAGCAAGTTTGTTTGGTTTTGGAAGTAGGTCAGGCCACATGTGTGAGTCCAGATAGAGGATGGTGAGACAGTGCGATGGAAGTAGTGCACTCAGACTCTAGGGTTAACAACAAATAATCATTTAATAATCATAAAAACACAGGTTACATGATACATATATCGGAATATCCGATTAACTGACCTATCTAACAAAATGTTAGTGAGAGAGAAAGTTTATATTGGATTGCACATTGAGATAAATACCTAGTGGTTTGTGAAATCCTCTAAAAGAACAGGTGAAGGTGATGGGTCAAACTGTTTGTTTCTTGTGTGGGGGGCCAAGGGGGGAGAAATAAAGAAAACTCGACGAACGATAATATGTGATATATATCGTCATCGTCTCCCTTGCCATTTGGATTGCCGAGCGGTAACAATCAACGACATGTGGAAGCAGTTGAGTCAGAGATAGATGCTTCGTTTACAAACAACACAACCGTTTATTAAACACGAAAGAAGCTTACAAGATTTCCGCGATCTTGGAAGTTCTGCGGCTGCTGTGGCCTCTGGGTTTTCCTCTCCTTTCCAAGATAGTCCCATTTTGAAAGAGTGTCCCTTGTTCGCGAATGAACCATTCCATCACGTCTCGACGACTCCGGGACGATGTGGTCGACTTCCGTTGAGGGAAAGATGTCGATCCGAGGTTGGGAGATGGAGACGAAGATGGGTGCGAGACACACACACAACAATAGATCCGTAACTTGGAACTTTTGGGAGAAGAAGCCGTCACGTCCTTGAATTTCTAGGGTTTTATCCGTTTTCTCTCAGATTTCCCTTTCCGATTGGTCTCTCCTCGTCACCTGATGACAATTCGAAACCTTTCGAGGGTGCGGGAGAGGTCAAAATCGAAGTTTAATTAGATCTCCAACCGGAAATGGTCGACGGATTTACATTCTTCTATTGTTTAAAAGTTAGCGTCGCGTTTTCATAAAATAAAAATCTATTTCTAACTACTATATATTTTTTCTCTAAAATAATTATTTTAACGCGAATTTTAGTGAGGGTTCGGACCTGTCCAGAGCCTCACACTTGATAGCTCTTGGAGAAGGTTGGCACAATAGGAATGTCCCAGATGTGGAGACATACTCCTGTTGGTATCGATGTTCGATGTTATTCCGTATCGGACGATGATGGTATTCCATATTCGGAGAAGCTGGTATTCCATATAAGGAAAGACAGTTCTATATTCATAGAGGAACGGCCATCAATTCTGATATATAAACGGTAATGCCCAGCTGAGAGGTTAATGAATCATGAGAAAGTGTCATTTTTGCTGTTGAGAAAGTGTAACTCAAGATGTTCTCAGATAGTAACAGATAGTTAACAATGTTAGTTGTCAAGATAGGTATAATGAAATCAAAAAAATATTTTCATTAAAGTTTCAGGGTCTCACAATTATCATAAATATTTAAAAAACAGTTATGAAAATAAAAATATATTTTTAATATATACAGTAGACCCGTGGGTAATCCGACAAACGTTTTGCAAAGTGGTGTCGGACTATAGAGTACTGCCACCGACTCCTTGTAGTTCAAAACTTTTTTGAAAAGGTACTACCTTGTAATCTGATAAATTGCATACTTATAAAAATGGTAAGATCAAATCTGGGACTTAGTGAATTAAACAACACAATAGATAGCATTGGATTTATTATAAAATTAATGTCATTAATGCTACAGCACTTGCAAAAAATAATAACTAAACATATTGATGTCAATCAATTACATACAACACCTTATGTAAGTATTTCCAAGGTACATATTATGTATGATCTTAATTTGAAAATGGATAAACAAACAAATTTATGGTGCATGCAAATATTCATCAATTTTCTTTTGTTTTACATTGGCTAAACACGAGAGTAAGGCTTTGTCTCTCAGTCTCCTCAGAAGTAAAAGTTTGTTGTGCAGTGCACCATTCTCTTCGGCCCATTGCATACTGAGCTGCAAATAGGCATGTCAGATTATAAGGGGTTCCAGATTAAATGGGCCAGATTACCACGGGTCTACTGTAGTATAAAACACAAATTACAGACCTTTAATATTTTAAAAATATTTTACTGTAGAATCTATTATTATATTGCCTTAAATTAATATAAATACTATTTATGGTTATAAAAATATAAACTAAACAAACAAAATTCATAATTATGTTTTATTCTTGAATTTATGACACATTTAAATTAGAAATTAGGCATAACGAAGGTGTTTTTCTCATTTGTGATAAATTATTAAAAATTCTCTGCTTTCATTAAATAGAAAAATATATTATTTGTTATAGATCATTATACAGGGTGTTTTTTTTAAATGGTACTCTGAGACATCTGCAGAGCAATCTAACAGCCAAACTGTCGCCAAATTTGAGAGAATGACCAAGGATGACATGGGAAAAAGAGTCCGCAAAGAAAAAAAGTAGTACCTAAATTCATCGGTAGGGGTGGATTTGGTGCTGTTGTAGCAAAACAGCTAAGAATTTACATAAAACCAAGCTGCAATTAACACATGAATGAATAATCAGACAGAGGTTTTGGTGCAATAATGAAAGTTTAATTAATCAGCAAATAACCTTCTCCCTCCTTCAATGTGACCACTGTCCTGCTGGAGAACACATTGCATCCTGAACGCTGTGTTCTCTACAGCTGAACGTAACATGTCTGCAGGAATTTTCATCACAGTTCAAGAAATGTTGTCCTTCATGGTCATCAAGTTGGGGACACCACCAAGATAGACAAAAGTCAAGCGCATTCCGGACTTTTGTCCTTGTCTTTTAAGCTCAAATTAGGTGGCGCTCTGCTGTCGACCACATCATTGTGAATTTGGATTTTGAAGTGTTGCCAGCACATTATGCAAATTCTTAGTTGTTTTGCTACAACAGTGCCAGATCCACCCCTACCGGCAAATTTAGGTACTACTTTTTTTCTTCGTGGAATCTCTTTCCCAAGTTGTCCTTGGTCACTTTCCCAAATTTGGTGACAGTCCTGCTGTTAGATTGCTCTACAGATGTCTCTGAGTACCGTCAGTTTAAAAAAACACCCTGTATATTTATAGAAGCAATCTGTATGTTAATAATTTAACTGAAGATTATTTAGTTTCATGAATTAAACAACCAAATTAACACCATAAATTAATGTTTGTGTATTAAGTTTAGTATTGTATAAATTAATCAAAAATTGATATTTTGTTTTCACTTATTTTGAATTGAATGAAAGGGGATGCAATTATTTCAGAATTACAAAATGAATTTTAACACAGAATCTTTAATCCTACCTATAAAAAAAAAGTTTTATAGTATAAAATGTACTTTAATAATGCTACCAAATATTGAGGTAGGGGAGAAAGCAGCTTATATAAATGTTGTTACAGTGTTGCTAGCTTTTTTTCAAGTAATGGAATACTTCACTTATTGCAAAATATTGATAGCCTGTAATGAACTGTTCTTTATCTTTATGATTTCATTTATATATTGCATTTTAAAGAAAAGTTTATATTAAAGCCAAATGATTGTTGAATTATTTTGGGCTATATTACTGCTCAATTAATAATAAAATGTTAAGTAATTTGGCACTATAGGTCGGTGTTAGGTGCCATTTCTTGCTAAATTTAATAATTATTAATTTAATTAATATTTTAATAATTTAGAAGGTTCTGGAAGAAAAAATTGTCTTAAAGTGGGACTCAAACCTGCAACTCCCTCTTATCATGCAGTCACATTGCCAGTTATGCTACACAAACCTCAGTCTGACCTTCGCTTCCAGAACTATTAATTTAGATATAACCATTCTCAATTACTTACAGCATCAGCTGGAGATGTCTAGGCATCTTCAGCTATAACTCCCATTATGGCACTCATCTGGCTGTCTGTTAAGGCCAAATTATAACAGGCTATTGATTTCTGTTTTCTTGTGTTTTTATATGAAAATCCAAATTATCACTTAATTTTTGGTGAATTTTATTTCAATTGTTTTTTTAATTTGTTGTTGTTGTTTCACAGATAATAATTCTTTAAATAAAATTACTGTATATTAATAAATTTAATGCTTTAAATTTTATTTCAATTGCAATTTTATTTTATTTTTGATTATAAAAACAATTAGATTTTGGAAATTTTTAAAATGTTTTGTTTGCTTGTGATCTTTTTCTAATATTCATATACACATGTACACATTTTATTGTAATGTGAATAGTTGTAATGAGATAATTTTTAAAAGATAATATACATATAATAGATATGTTATTTGTTTAGTTTTATTATGTATTGTATAATGTTAATTTTCTTAGTTTTACTTCACTAAATTTTAATTAGGATGAATTATAATTTTGGAAAAAAATTAATTCTATGTAGTAATTATGTGCAAATATAAATTATAAATATATTAATTTGTACGTTTTATATAAATAGTTATTTTTATTTTGTTTTTTAGTTTCTCCGTGCCTTGAGAAATCATCCTCCTTACAAGGTGGTGATGGTGGTGGTGGTAGTAATAGCAGTAGTAATAGTAACAGTAACAGTTCTTATGATGATTCTACCCTGAATAGTAACAGTAAAAATCAGTGTTGCAAAGATGATTGTGAAAATAATCAAGATATAAATGATATATTGAAGAATTTAAAGTTTCCAAAGTATGAATTTTGTTTGCAAGATCAGCAGCTGTTGAAGGAAGAATCAACACAGTATATTTGTGACATTTGTGGTTTCAGATATGCACATAATTTTAGTTTAAAGCGCCATTATCTACGCAAACATATAAATTATGTTTATTTAAATCAAAATGACATTACCAATTGCTCAATTTCTGCAAATAACCTCAATTTGCATTTTATAAAGTACAAAAATTTACTTCAAAAAGATCATAAGAATATTTGTGATATAATCAGTTCATTTCAAACAAAGGACAAAAACTGCATATTTTCATACCTGTTCTGTTGCAATGAATGCACAGAGATGTTCAATGATAAAGCAGCCCTGAAAGAACATTTGATTAATCATGAGATGAAAACTAAAGCCAGGTCAAACAGTAATAAAAGAAAGTGTTCAGATTTGCCTTATCAATGTTTCAAGTGTCAAAAATATTTTAATGACATAGAAAGTTTGAAAAAGCATGAAGAAACTCATAAATTCTCATGTAATTGTTGTAATTCTGTTTTTCTTCAGAAAAAGGATTTGAAACAGCACTTAAGTGAAAAACATTCAGAATTTGCTCATCTGTGTTTTGTATGTTGTGAAGTTTTTAGTGCACAAAGTAAACTTCAAGAACATTTGAAAAAACATAGAATTGAAGATAGTGAGAATCAACCTCATAATGAAAAATCTTTGAAAAATACAAAAAATAAAACTAAATTAGACAAAGATAAGCCATTTCAATCAAGTAAAGGTTCCGATGGATATCAATGCACATTATGTGCAAAATCTTTTGCAACTTATGGAAATCTTTCTAGGCACCAACGTCAAGTCCATCCTGTTCCTACATCTTATTCTAGAAGAAGAAATAAAAATGTAGTGACTGAAGATGGAATAGATGCTAAGTTCTATAATTCGGTTGCAAACAACATAGCAGATAATTTAGTTCACCATGTTGATGGTAAAGCATCTCACGTTATAGAGACAGCAAAATCTTTGAATCTTGGTTGTTTTGAAGAGATAAAAATCAATTTCCCTTGGAAAGATTATAATTTTCCTTCTGATTTTGATTTGTGTAATAACGATCAGCCAAGTCCTCTTAAATATACTCAAAGCAGCATTGAAGAAGAAATTTCATCTGAAATAAACAAACAAATTGTAAAAGAATTTATTTCGAAAGATGAGATTGATCCGACAAGAGACAAAGAAGTTTTATTTATATATAAATGCAAAGTATGTGATGCATCATTCAATTCTTTAAGAACTGTTCATGAACATTACGTAAACAACCACAATGGAATTAGTTCTAACATAGAATGTGGATACGAGTATGAGTATCCGCCACCTCAAGTATATCACATAATTTCAACTCCTGTTGGAGCATATTATAAGTATATTAAAACACCTTTTAAATCACAAGAGAATTGTCAATTGATGACATGCACTAAATGTAAAGCTGCATTTAGTTCAACCTCTGATTTGCATTCACATATACTAGAATGTGGTAGCAAAGTATTGAAAGATAGAAATCAAAGAGTGGATAATGATAATTTAATCAGAAGACCAGAAAATGCATCATCGGTACCTGAATATAATTTGGAACAGTCTTGTGACACTTGTCATCGAGTATTCAGTCACTCTGTAACTCTAGAGAGACACAAGAGAAGCTGTGCAAGTAAACATGGGCTTTTGTCAAAACTTTATAAGGAAAATTCAGATTTGATAAATAATAATAAGAGAAAGAGAAATCAGCATTTGAATAGAGTTCATCAGTTAGTTTTAGGTCCAAAGTATACAAGAAATCTGAAAATGGTAGAGAAGAAAAAAATGAATTCTCCTGTTGAAACAAGAAAACAAAAAAGAATAAGTGCCAGATTGAAGAGCAAATCACCTTCAGATCATGAAGCTACTTTTGATGATGATAATTCAACAACAAAATCAGAAAATAAAGAAAATATAACAAAGAGAAATGCAACTTCAAAACGTGATTCTTTACAACCACAACATTGGTGTTCATATTGTAGACGTTCTTTTGTTTATTTGGCTAATTTCAGAAAACACATGGTTGATGGCTGCCCCATCAAAAAGCAATTGGATGAAAATCAAAACTTGAATGAAAATGGTGAATCATCAAATACAGATAGGGAGACGAAACTTTCAATGCGTGGTCAAATTGAACAGAGTATGATTGGCTTATTAAGTAATCAATCCCTTCAGTCGGAAATAATTGGAACATCCGATAGAACAACACCAACCAAGCATTTTCAGACATTCTCTTGTACGCATTGTCATAAAATATTTTTCTGCCTTTTCAACATGCTTAAACATCAAGTATCTCACAAGCTTCATCCTGAAGATTGCACAGAACAGACAGAATGTTTAGATCAAGCTACAAAATCTGAAACTTCTGATTCTCAAAATGATTTGTGTGAAACTTTGGAATTTAATAATAATTCTAATGAGCTTAAATGTGAACTTTCTAAAGAAGAAACAGCTTCTCCTCTTGTTCTGGAAAATGCTGTACCTTCTCCTCAAATAGTAGAATTTAAACAAGAAGAGAACTTGGACAATGCTCAACAATCTGAACAATGTTTATTGAAGATTGATTCAAGTGAACAAGAAATTGATAAATCACCAGTTGATTGTGTCACTTCATTAGATAATTCCACAGCCAAACTAGAAGTCCCACAAAAGAAAGAAAAGGTTGTGAACGACGACTTCCTGTCTCAACCTGGTCCATCTCGTACACGTAAAAGGAAAGCAGCAGAACCAGTAGCTGCAAGTTCGAGGACATTAAGAGTATCACGTAAGAAGACTCAAGCTACACAACAGGACAATATCAAAAAGGAAACAAGTCCCAGAACATATAAGAAGAGAGCAAAGAAACAAGTACCTGAAAAAGTCTCAAGTCCTAAGAAGACACCATATAAAAGCAGATCCGAAAGATCAAGGAAGATAACTACACCGAAAAAATATAAACAATAACTGTGATGGGTATTTGCTTTCAGCAATAGTAAATTAACATTTTTACTTGTATATTTATACTATAATATTTAAATTAGTATAGTTTGTGTGTGAGAAAAATATGAATACTCTTGTGTTCATATTTTTCTCACATAATCTTGAGAAGGATGACAAATTTATCAAAAAAACAAAAAAATCCAGCAAAAATATGTCTGTCTTCATTTAAAGGTTCTTAAAATGGAAGTATTTTGTTTTAAGTGGTAAAAATCAAACAAATTTTGATGAAATTTTTGACATAGATTTACTGTTTTTGATTTTACTTATAGTTCCAATATTCTTGAAATTGAAAATGTTCCCAAAAATTGTAACCTTGAAATCGAATTAAGTCAATTATCATTAACAAATGAAGTCAAACTGCATATTTTGTAGGAAATTAAGATTCTTTCTTGAGTCATTATGCATCCTTATATACATTATTTAAAAAATCACAAGAGTCATTTACCAAATATTGAAATGTTTTCCATATTAGTCACACGATCATGAGCCAATTCTTTTCAAATAAATGTGGAAAGTGTTACAATTAAAATCATGTAAATAGTAAATATATGTATATAGTTGTACATATGTTTTATCTTAAAATTATTTGAAAAGAATTGAGATATTAGTCATAAGATGTTAATACCTCAATAACAAATTTAGATCATGCAAATATTTGTAATAGAAATAAATTATTTAATATAATTTACTTAAGTATTTTTGTTTTTTTTTTGAGCAATTGTGAAACTTTTGACATACCATGTTGTTGATAATGAATGCAAGTTTGTGAATTATCAAATTTAACAGCATTACTGTTACTCTGTATAACGGAATGGATTTGTGAAAGATGAATGATCTGTTATTTAAACAATTGAGTTTTATATTGAGATATATTGCGAGTATTTGAAACTAGTCAGATGTATATACTTATATATCTTGGAGGAATGGCAGAAAACTGTAATTTATTAGTTACAGCTTATGGTTTGAATATATCACTTATGAGAATTGTACATTGGAATGATTCATTGCATACAACAGCTTTTTTTTAATCTTTTAAAAATTAATTTTATGTACACAGCAAACCATGACAATATTCTAGTTTTGATAAATATAACTTGCAATTTGAATAAATTTTTACATACTAATTTTTAAGATATTCATTTATTATTATTGAAATTTGTTTCAAATTTTGCTGTTTTGTAATGTATGAAGTTTGGACATATAAGCACTAAAAATTGCATAAGTTATAGCATACAATTTTGTGCCTTGATATCCTAGTCTTCATAATGCATTAATTAGAACAAGTCAAAAACATGAATTTTTATAATCTTTCAGAATTTAATTATTTAAATTTTTGATAATCTCATTTATATTGTTTGGAAAATTTAATTGTTTATTGTCATGGTTTGTTGTTAATGTGTTTTTTTTTTTCTTCTTTATCATGTTTTCTATAATGGATTTTGTATTTGAATTGAAAGTTTGTAGACTGTAGTTTTTGTCGAAACTAACGTTTGAATTTATATTCTGTGTTTGCCGAGAAAACCAACGAATTCGTAAACTTCGGCACAGAAAAATTAACTCATAAACTTCGGTGTTTACCGAGAACTCCATTCAAATTTATAAAAATTGTGCTATTTTCAGAGAATAATTGAATTGTATTTTTTTAGATAAGATAATAGTTTTTGTAATTGTACTAATAACAAATGAAATAGTGAATTTGTACACTACAGTTTTCTACCAGAATAAACTTTCATTTTTGCAATTGGTTTTCAATTCTCACTTTAACTACATTTTCACATTCCTCATTATTAATAAACTAATTGCAGATTTTTACATACATTTCTTTTTTACACCAATGTTTCTGTATCCAGCAATGAATAGAAGTTTTTAAATTAAAATTTAACAACAAAATATTCTTTATTTTAAATAGATAAATGAATGATTTTTCTAAAAAAATAAACAAGCATCAAATCAATATTTCTTTATACAAATAACTTTCTGAAAAGCATTGAACTGTGAAAATACTTTCTTCTATTTGATGTGCTTCAACTAAATTATTTCTGAAGTGATTTAAAAAAATTTTAAGAACATTTGCAAATTTTTATTCTATGAAGAGAATTCTTATAAAATTTTATGTAAATTAATTTGAAATAAAGGCTAAGTAATTTTGTAGCAGTCTTATATAAAGAAGAATGAATTTTTTTAGCACAAGGTTTAATTACTGGTTAAACTTCTGGAGGTGATAGAGCATCCAAAAATGAGTATAATTAGGAAAAAGCTAGTATGTCAAACACTTAGTTTTTGAGAGGAAAAAGGGGTTTAAAGTCTACAAAAAATTTTGAATACAGTATTTCAGAAACAGTAGATATTTAATTGAAATATTTTGTAGTTTTTCCTACAGGAAATCTGCATATTTTTTTGCGTGATTTTCTTTACCATAGGCAGTGATGTGGGTGGTACTGTGCATCTCTTTACAAAATGTATGTGACCCCACTGAAAAGTTAATTATTCCCACCACATTTCCCATGGAAAAATTCACCAAAAAATCCTCCCCTCTAAAAATATAGGCTTACTATAAAAAAATCATCCAAAAATTTCAACTAAATGTATCCTATTTGTTTGAGATATTAAAAATTAAAAAAAAAACTGTAGCACTTTATCCCCTTTTCTCCCAAAAACTAAGCGTTTAGGGGGATAGTAACTCTTTTTATCACTATAATTTCCATAAAGAAAAATCAATTATTGAGATGTTATAAGAAAGAACTGTTTAGTAATTATTTTAACTATCATCAATCATGAAACAAAATCAGACAATGATAAAACAACAAACAAGAAACTCATTTAAAAATAATGGAAAAATTATTTGGATAAATATGGAATTATCCAAAACCATTCATTTGCAATGTTAATTTAGAAAGAAAAATAAAAAACTTTATTGTTTCTGCAGGGAAAGTATTTTAAGTTTAGAACGAGAAAGTTCTAGCTTTACGAGCTTGCATCTGCATTCTATAGATAAAAGAGTAAACATGTCACCGACTAGGGTCGATTGTTACCAAGGACAACACTATAACATTTATGAATGTCCAAGAAACACACATCGTTGTGTGTTTCTTATATCGACTAGAATGTTTCGAGTTTGAGGAAAAGTTTTAATAGATAAACATCTACTTTTTCGACCTTAATCATGAGTAAATCGCAGCAATCACGAACTTTAGAAGATAAACAATACGATCACAAAATTGGTTTCGACGAAGCTTCGAAATATATGCTAGGAAGGAAAGCCAGAATGGTTACGTTTTATAAAAACGGAGATACTTGGTCCAGCGGATCGAAAATTTCCATACAACCAGGTAAAGATTTCAAGAATCTGAGTAATTTATGCGATTATCTTACGCAGAAAACTAACCTGCCACAAGGGGTTAGATATATTTACACCATGGACGGGAAGAGGATAAAGGATCTGAAAGAACTAGAAGACGGCAAGTCTTACGTGGTATCGAGTACCAAACATTTTCAAAATTTGCCATACGGACAAGAGAAACGACTTAAAACTGCCGCTCCCGTGAAAAATTTCGCTCCAATAGGATATCGCGAAGACGATTTGAAATTGTTAAGACCCGTTAAACCGGAAGATAAGATTCATTCGCGTGGTACCCCGTATCGAGGATCGGGTTCACATTCTCTACCGGGAGAACAAGACAGTAGGATCATTCGAATCATCAACAATAACGAACAAGGCGTTCAAAGTAGGATTCTGCTTAATTTACGAACAGTTCAACCATTCGAAAAAGTGGTCGAGGATCTCGGAGAAACCGTTAAACTTAAACACGCTTCGAGAATGTTAACGTCTTGGCAACAAGAGGTAAATTTCAATTCATTTCTATAGATCTAAATAACCTTGTTTCCCAACCGGTGGGTCGCGAATTGTTTTCTCCAATAACAATCTTTTGAAGGTTGAGAACAGTGGCCCGTTATAGGTTCACGGGACCCGGGCAAATTTGAATTATGGGTCTCCGCGTACAGACATTTTTCTTCTAGGCAATTTTTTCTTATAAAAGATCGATTTGGGCTCCAAACAATTGCCTTTTTTGCCCATAGGATAAGGCGCAATTTATTTGGAAATAATGTTGACTAAGCAAATAAAGTTAATTTAGTACAAATATAATGTTTTACAGCGTAAATCTAGCTTAAAAAAATTACATTTTTAGAATAAAATTTCCCGAAATTTGCGTGGTACCGAGGCCATTTTCCTCACGCTCCTATCTATCGTGTATTCAGTTCAACACCATATCAACGTTGCCTACTTTTTTTTTGTAATTTAATTCAAATTTTTGAAAATATCATGCCTTAAATAAATATTTTCTTAATTTTAATCAGTTTACAGACATTAATCATCACGTTTTTTCTATTTAACGATTGCAGTAAATGACGTAAAAGTTTGGATCAATCGAATTGCATAATTAATATAGACCTAGGACTTAAAAATGAAACTTGTTACCAGAAAAAAAAAATGGCGAAATGATTTGATGAACGATAGAAATATGTCAATATTTGAAAGTCATTTCTCTTTCGACGATTGATTCGTATTTATTTAATGTTTGTTCGATAATCTAGTTGTAATACGAAAAGTCTGATTTCATTTTATATTGAATTGCTTTATTCTAGATCATTAACTAATGAATATAAATGATTCCTAAGTGCATAACTGTAAGAGTGGATTAACTGTGGGATCGAGTGGGGTCCATGAGGAAAGTGACATTTTCCGTACGATTAGTATAGAAAATTTTCAATATATTTTTAGGAAAATCCAATAATACGGATTCGAACACAGTCCAGATCTTTCACAACGTGAATTAAGAGCGAAACGTCGTTTCCATCTTTTATCTGTGGCTCCTTAGTTGGCATAATCGACACCAATTACATCCCACTATTGTAGGTTATACAAGGCCAATTGTGGCCTTATATAGCCTAGGCGTGATGGTGTTCTGCGTTAATTATTTTATACGTTTTAATTTAAAAAAACATGCAGATTTCCAAGTGACATTTAATGTTTTGCGATTGTTGCTATTCGTGACAGAAATATTAAAAACATATCTTTAAAGTTGATGAATGCGAAAAATGAAAAAAAAAAAACACATTTATGAACGTGTAGAACGAGAAACAATTCGTTTATCTTCATAAACAGAAACAGAACTGTCTTGTTATTCCCAATTAATTTAATGAAAAAAGCTGATATAATTTCAATTAGAGCTCAGATAAAAGGGCATACCATTAATATACCTCGTGGTATATTAATGGTACACATGCACAGCGATACGTGTCTGTTTTTATTTGTTTTGCTCGTTTATTTCTATGAGTTGAAACAGAGGAGTGGGATCTATATAACTACACTAGTTTGGATTCCAATGTATCGCAATCGAATCAGACAATTAAACTAAGATAAAAAATTATTTATTTTAATTGTTATTCCACACGAAACATTCATTCGCGATTTATTGATTTAACACGCGTTAAATTATCGAACAATAAACATTTTGATGTAGCAACACATTAAAAACAATAAAATGAAATCGTGTTTGACTTAGAAATGTTATTGGCCGCTCGATAATAAAAAAAAAAGCCATCTTTATCTCTCATTTTTATGCAATTTTACATAATTTATCGACGACTTATTTTAAGACCGCAATTTCAAGGGTTTGCGACCCACACTTAAGGAACCGCGGATGTAATTTAAACATCTATTTAAATATCGGGGCTTCAAATATAAAACCAGGGAACATAGGTTAATTCTTATTAATTTATTCAAATAAATATTTATAATACTACAACAGGCTTAATGGCATTATCTGATGATTAATCGTCGAATGTCCTTGGATATAATTGTGTTTACTAAGCACTTCTCCCCATTATGCTAAATGCTATAAGATGTTTTATAAACTTACATAATGCAACTTAATATAAGGGCAATATTGAGACATTATGATTGATACCAAATAACTATTAATAAAACAAAAACAATATCCAATATACTTTTATAATTATTTATTATCTTTCTTTCATAAAATTCTCTGTTAGTAATTATAAAATATGAAATTTTAATCAAACTTTATAGCGTTTAAGACAGACCAGAGAATTAGTTTTCGTCTTCTGCTTATAAGAAGCTACTGAATAATGAAATGAAATAAATTCCAAATAAAAGAAAAATATCGATTGGTTGCTATACTTTCGTGTCTTCTTATTTATCAATTCATTCTTCTTTTTACTGGGCTATTTGCATATTTTTTTATTTTTAAAAACCATAAAACTGGATATCTGCTTCAGAATTTTTTCTTTCTTTAAACTATTCGCTAAATCTTAAATGTCTAAGGTTAAAATTTTCTTTTTAAAACAGAAACAAGAATTTTAGATCTTTTACGACACTTTCTTCTGTTTCTGGTTATATAATTAAGCCACATCTTAGAATACAGAGACTAATTCTGATTAATTTATTAATTTCGAATGTAATATAAGGCCTGAAAGCCTTTCAAATCAGTCTAGGCTTGATCACAGGAAGCTTTGACGTAAACCATTCATATTTATGGGGCCTCAAAGATATTCATTCCATTGAATTTGTTGTGTATTAAGAAATTATTTTGTTAATTATTTATTATTTAAAAATATACAATCTTAATTCAATTTTCTTTTTTTTACTATAAAGAGGCCTGGAAGTCTCTGTATCTTAATCTTAAGGACAGGGATCAAGAGAGGCCTTTGGTATCAAGGTGATCTCTCTTGATCTATAAAAGTCGTGATTAATGCTAGAAATTATAAGTAAGATTCTCATTTTAATGAATTTCTATGATTGTTTTCAGGTAAGAAGTTTTTCTCAGTTAAAACACGAACTGAAAGATGAAGATACTTTTTACTTGGACAATGGCAAATCAGGTATTGATCGGAATCATTCAAATTCTGTCAATAAACACAGAAAACGACGAAGTAACAGTGCTCCAAGAGATATCGGTAAATTTTCACTTCAAATTTGTATATTTAAAAGAAATCAAACATTGATAAATGTATATCCCAGTGAAAATTTTAGATCTCGAAAATGCATATATATATAATATATTATAATAGATAATTAACGAATTTATCTCTTACTCTAGATTGGAGAAATGGCGGTGGATCATCTAATAACTACAATTATGACTATTCTAGAAGAGATTATAAATAGCATTTTGAATTTAACACGATAGGTAATATATCTTCTCGTCCATTTTCATTTTATTTATATATTTTTAATGAATTCGAGTAGATTAAATGTCATAGATAAGTTGTAAATTTATTAAATGTACTTCTTCCTTATCTGCTCGAATGTCTTTTGTAGTTATAAAATTAATTTTCTTTATGATAATCATCTTTAAAAGAGAACATCTGCACGTTTCGTGTACGTAAAATGAATAGTTTTTCCCTCTATTATTAAATGTCGGGCCCTATCACAGGAGCATTCTGTCTGAACGTCACATTTAAGGAGGCCTTCGATTGCATTTTTAAATACTAATTTTTAAATCCTGGTTTAATTAATACCGAAGGCCCGGAAAAGTAAATGTGGATCCCTCTTGATCTATAAGAAGCCCTGTTAAATCGGTGATGTGATTGAAAATTTGATGCCCTTTTTCACTACTTATATCATTTTTCTAATGTATTTTTTATGTAAAAGGCAATTTTGGGCCTTCTGTATTCAGAGATTGGACCAGACAGATTCCCGGCATTCCTTTATAGGGCCTGAATATGACATTATTTTTGTATTGTATGTATGTAACCTAAATAAGAAACAAATCGATTAATTACTATATTTATATAANGACATTTTTTAAAATTTTCTATGGTTTATTCCATTAAAAGTGCTGAAGAAGCTGTATTAATTGATACTTTTTACAATTTTTAGGAGTTTTTTCCCATAAAAAATGCTGCAGATCTGTATTATTTAAGCAGATGTTGTATCAATTGATATACTTTAAATATTTTACTGTACTGTCTTTTATTGAAAAAAAAAGAAATGATACAAATGTTGTAGACCTTTTAATTGATATATTTTTAATTTTCTAGTGTTTTTATCATAAAAAGTTCTGCAGTTTTTGTATTATTTCAGACTTTTTTCTACTTATTCTAGCAAAACAATGATGATTAAATGAAGGAATTGTATTGGAGAAAGTGTTTTTTTCCTAAGTATTTGCGTGATAACTAAGCACTGTTTAAGTGTTCGTTGACCTTACTTAGCTATAACTTCCATTCAATTATTCATTTCAATTGTTAATTTACCTTTATATATATTTGCACGTCACATAAGTCAGAATTAATAATTACAAACCTGACCTACATTAGGTTATAGATGCTATTTTACATGCAATTCTTTTGAATAATTAATAACAGATGTATTGTTATCAAATTTCCATTTTTCTATATAACAACAGAATTATTTAACTATTAAAATTGGTCAATATAATATGTTTATTTGCCTTTGTTTTCTCTTACTTTTTGCTTATTTTATTACTATTTTATTCATAGTCTAATACTGATTTTGTTGAATCAGTATTAAGAATATAAATTATTAAAATTAAGAAAATTCTTTGATATTTCTTTTTTAATTATGTAATTAACCCTTCTTAATTTAATTATTTAACTATTAAAATCTTTACCTTTGTTAATTCTTTTACATGTCATTAATTTATCTAAACCTTCAGATATCAAACATCAGAGTAATTAATATATTTATAATGAATGTAATTATTCAACCATTTAAATATATTTATCTCTTATTTAGCAATTATTTTATCATTTATCATATGTAAATACATATACTTTATCCTTTTATATTCATTCATAATAGATCAATGACTTTAAATTACAAAGAATGGCTTCTTTATTAATTATCAAACAACTTTAACTACTTAATTTTTACAGTTTAGTATTTTATTTCTCATTTTTTCATTTAAAATGACTGCTCTGACTTGATTAACAACTTTGAATTGACACAAAGAAGAAGCTGGTATTTATTTATATTAATAAGTTTAATTAATTAAGATATGAAAAGTTGATAAATAAAACTAAATTTTTTCTCTTTATGTTCACCATTTTTTATATTTTTTTAAAGTAACATCTGAACAGATCAATGACATTAAGTAGGGATTACCAGGAATAATATCATACAGAATGGTTTTAATATACCAACCACACCCTAAGTTATAAAATTTATTTAAATTAGTTTCATATTGAACCACTATTATGTAAAAATCCTTCTAAAAGTCTTGTTATTATCTTAAAAAAAAAACATCTTCTAAACTCTTATTACTATCAAAAAACTCCTCTAAAAATACCTTCCAAAATTCTATTACTATTCTAATTCCTTACTATCTAAAGAATTTCTCTAAAAATCCTTCCAAAAGTCCTTCTAATTGCTCACTATCATCTAAAACTGGGTTTGAAAACCATTTAAAATCTCATTTATATTTAAAGATCCTTCTAAAAATCTTAACTTTATATTTATACTACCTCTTCTAATAATCTAAGTTATTTTATTCTCTAAAACTCTTCTAAAATTTTATTTTTTTCTCTCTAAAACTCTTCTAAAAACTCATTTACTCTTTAAAAGTCCTAAAAAAACTCATTTTACTCTTTAAAACTTCTCTAAAAACTCATTTTACTCTTTAAAACTCCTCTAAAAATTTATTTTGTTTCCTAAAACTCTTCTAAAAATCCATTTTATTCATTAAAACTGCATTAAAAATGAATTTTATTCTCTAAAAGTCCATTTTAAAATCCTCTTAACATCTAAAAACCATAGTATTATGTAAAAAAAAAAACAGAATAAAAGAAAATTACAGTTAAATCTGATAAAGCATAACCTTCAAACCTAAATATAATTACATTTCAAGAAAGGAAAACACACACACACGAAAATGAAAAAAAAAACAGGAGTAATACAGTTTAAAGAATTACCTAAATTGAGTAGAACAGGTAATGAAAGTTTTCTAGCTTTTCTTCGCAAGTTGCAAAGTACATCCATACTAGTCCAGTCAAAGTGCAAATGAATCTCCGTTTACATTAGACGGGTCAAAATAGTAGAAAGAGTTGATTGAGTCGAGTCTCGACCCCTAACCTGCTTAGTTACTATTTTTGGATTTTTGTCGAGACGTCATTGTAAAGAGAGGCAATCTCTTCGATGAAACCTTCTCCTTTCCCTCCCTCCTTTGTTTTTTTTTATAGATTTTTCAAGACTGATGAAGTAATGTCACTTTTAAACATATCCTTTCGGATAAAGCGCACTCCATTATGTAACATAGACAACGATTAATTTGACGTAACAAATCGCTCTGTATTTGATGTCTACAAGATAATACCATGTAATTTAGTAAAAGAAAATCGCTCGTTCGGTCTCGTACAAGGTCGAAACATTATTTTTAAAATGGAAATGACATATTTAAAGTGTATAGTTTGATAGAGTAAGTGATGTAGAATGGGATGCTGTGGAGGGTGGACTTGGCATGGAAACTATTAAGCGAGTTAACTATAAGCGAAAAATATGATAAAGTTATTCGAAAACTAAAAATAAGGTTAATGGAAAGAAGGGAGAAAAGTGTCCAGATGTTTAAGTGTAACCATAATAAACATTATATCCATAAAAGACCAAGGAAACTTGGAACTTTTGTGAACATCCAAAGTTGTTTGTGCCTGGAATTCACATTTCTTCTAACTAAATTCTGTTTCTCCTGATTCATCCAATAAACTAGTGTTACGAGGAAAAATTTAAATCAACTAAATCTCGATAAATATTTATCTTTCCAGATGATAAACATTTATTTCTTCCCCCTCTTCTTCTTCTTCATCTTCTTTTTTTTTGGGGAGCCATTTTAGTTTGTTAGATCCTGTTAGCGCCTCTCCATTTTGTAATGTTTAAAATATAATTTTCTGTTAAAGTTAAATCAATATTTTAAGATGATTAATAATAGGAACTGACGTGAGAATAAATTTAAATAATAGAATATAATTCAAGTAGGCGAGATGCTCGTTGGATGACGATTGAATAAAGATTTATTTTGATCTTTAAAGGCTCTTCATGCCCTAAATATGATACAGATTCTTTCAATTTACAATTACAAAATTATTATCGAACAATAGATAATTTTTCAAAAGTTTATAATTGAGTAATTAGATTTTTATCCTTTGTTTCTTGCTCTACTTTTCGTTCATTTTAAGCTTTAAACGATCATTGTAGAATGTATACGGAGGAAAATTTCATATATATGAAGGTAAAAGTGTGTACAAACATAATTTATGCATAGATAAATATGTAATACATCGAAATATATATGTTTTATAAGTATTTAAATGATAAAAATGTACTAAAAATGCATAGAAGTTGGAGTCAAATCTCTGTAAAATTTGATGTGAGAAGTGAAATATACTAATGTACGACTCTTTAAATGTCTAGTAGAAAAATTTATACTAAAATACGAATAATAAATTATTTAAAAATGTCAAAAATAAGGTTTAATAATGTAATAAATTATAAAAAAAACATATCAAACTAAGATTTCTAGTCTTAGCCTACTTCTACGAAAAAAAATCAGTAAAATATTAATAAAAAAAAGGGAAGAGAACTTAAAAAATAAGTTTTTCTTTATAAAAAAATCCATTAAAAAATAATTTTACTCCATTTATCGATCAAAAAGCTTCTATCCAATCTTATTAGAAGTGTTCATTACGGATTTCAGGTCGAGTGAACAACACATTCTGACCACCCCTACGCTTATAACGACCATTTTTTTTTAAACAAAGAACCAGTAAAATATTTTTCACACGTTAAAATCATCATCATAATCGTCGTCTTTTGTTTGGATATTTTATTCAACGACTAATTTCGCACCTTTACTTTAATGGGTGCCATTAATATCAACACTCCATAAACATCACCCTTTTGTATATTACATAAAACAGTGTTTAGAATAATATAATTATAACACTAACCTATGTTTTTTCTTTTGGTTAAAGCGTTAAATACCGATTCGAAGGAATAATTAGCTGTTAAAAATCTAGAAGTTGCCTCCTTACACTTTTCCTTCATCACGCTCCCGAGCACCTGTCCACAATGACAGGTTTTTAGTAAAACACATGCGATGTTTCCGCATCACGTGAACAACTTCCCGTAATTATCTCACATCTGACGTCATCATTTAATTAAGATGTTTTCGTTCGAGACGATAATTTCGAATATTTCTAATGATTTATATTTATAATTTCCTTCGAGTATGGCACAATAATAAACGACACGAAATAATTATTTCATTGTTTAAAATCTAATAGAATGATGCGGGTAAGCTATTTAATTATATAAATTTCGTATTAGATTATATTAAATTTCATAATTTTAATAAGTTTTGTAGCGAGAATAGTGAAGATGTTATCAATTATTCAAGCCAGAATTCCAATCAAGATAATGACAGAGATTCGGTTGCAGCAGCTTCGATAAATTATGTGCTTAATATACTTTTATTATGTGTTGGATTCTACATAATCTACAAAGTAACGTCCCTCCTCTTCCTCCTCCTCCTCTTCCTCCTCTTTCATCTTTTACCATTTTTCTTCATCATTAACATCTCGTTTAGTTGCAGCTTTTTGCTGGCTTTTTATGACACAAAATTAATAATATTTATCAGCCTTTTCAAACTATGTTTTAATTTCTTGTCCACGCTGCATGCAATTCTTGTTGTAATGACAATCGCTGCTTTTATCGATAACTTCAAGTAGTTTATTTTTAGCCAGACTACAGGATATACAAAACTCTAATATAAAAGCTTCCTTGTAAGGCTCTAATCAAAAATAATCTACAAAATTTTCAATTAGAATCTTGTATAAAGTTGTTAAATTAAGAAAAATATCTTCTTTCATTAAAATATTCTTCTCGACTTTCTTATAAACGTTGATTTATTATATTTTATTATTAAGGCTGAATTATGAATAATTTTCTTAAATTTCTTGAATAATTTTTCTTTTATTTATTTATTTAAAAAAAATAATAATTAATTTTTTAAACTTTTTATTTTAGATTTATATCGTTAAAAATGTTAGAAGAAAATTCTTCGAAAATGGCGACTTAGAAGGAGAATTTCGACAAGTTAGATCTATATTTTTATTAATTTTATGTTATTTTTTATATAAATATAAATTATATTAAGTTATTGTTTTAATTTGAATTATTTTAAATGGTTAAAAAACCGAATAAATGAAGAAATTCGGGTTTTCGTCTGACGAAAATTCGGCTCTTGAACGTTAAAAGAATTGCAGGAAAATTGAGCATTTCTATTATAATTTTTTAATTAATTTTGTTGGCTTATATAAAACCAATGCGATTTATATGAATTATATCAAAGAATGTAATTTTTCATGTATGCAGTTAATTAGAATAAACGATTAAATTCTTGCTATCTAACAAATAGGTCGCCAAATAAAAAGAATAATGTAATTATTATTATTATTATTATTATTATTGAGAAACAGTGTCGTCGAGAGCTTGCCCCGGAGGGAACGGCGCATTATTCTATGGCAAAAAAGGGGCCCCCACTAACTGGGGGGGTCCAAATCAATGTTTTATAAACTCATTTTACTGCAGTAAGAATATTGAAATTTAAATTTTGCGTACCATATATGGTGATCCTAGCTTGCCTGTGTGGCTCAGCAGCTCAGTACTTAAGTAATCCCTCCAGAGGTCGGATTAAAAAAAAACGGATCAGGATACCAAGGGATTCCCACAAAATTATCACTAGGAAAAATGCGTGAAGTCGACATTGTATATGGGGTCTCCTAATTCAAATTTGCCATGGTCCCATGAAGCTATAACGTACAGTACAATTGCCTAGAAATAGAGTGGGCCCTTTCTGATTCTTAGCGGGGCCCTTTAGTCATTGTTTGTTCGAAGAAATAAAATATGTATAATGTTCTTTATTTTAAAAAGCATTCTTAAACATTTCATTTTCTGTTAATAAGTATAACATTAATTTTATAGGGCCCGTAAGTTTTCCACCGGGTCAGGGGAAAAATCCCTAGCCTCCTCTTCTCCACCGGTCCTGCTGGATTGTGAGAAATACTGAATTAATCGTATAGTGCTAACCATAATCCTGATTAATGATGAGGAGAACAAATATTAATAAAAATAACTCTCTTGATTAATTTCCATTTTGCCTCTTTCCACTCTGTGGGCAGTAAGACAACCTTTTTAAATCACACCGGGCACACAATGGGACAGTCAAGTAATGAGGAAATGTGAGTGTTCGCTTTATGACGGTTTTCCAAGAACCAATTAAAGCCTAACAGCGAAGTTTATCTTATGTATATATATGGATGTAATGATACATATACGTATATATATATATATTTAAATATGTACGTACAGATGTTTAGTATAATATACATGTATACATATACGGTAAAAGGATGTATATTTTGCCTAATCTATATCATAAAACCTGGATAACTCTTCCCCTTATTAGCATCTAAACACTTTGACTGATTTGGACCAAATTTTTTCGAGTTACTCTCTAAGACCTTACAGAAAATGTAAGCTACCAAGAAACATGTATATCCCATCTCTTCTTATATGTTACATTACGTAACATATAACTAACTTTCTGGTATGTAACTTACATACCACAAAGTATAATACACAGAAACCAAACTATCCGTGTTCATCTGTCGATTGTAGCGCCGCGAAATTAGGTCATATATAAGTTAGTATTATTTCTATTTACTACTGTATTTAATATTTATCCGGAAATAGGCTTATATACAATATACATAAAATTGGCTAATTAAAATCTGTCAAAGTTTGGCGTTTACTGTCGGAATTTTTCATATAAAAATGCAAAAAAAAAAATTAAGTTTATTTCAGTTTATTAACATTAAATAATAAAAATAAAATAAAATATTATTTTATTAAATAAATTATATTAATTAATGTAATAAATTATCCTTAAAAAAATATTTTATCTTAATAGTAAAATTTGACTAGTGCGGACATCTGGTGATTAAAATTAAAATTAATATTTTATTTATTTTTTTTCCAGATTTATAAATTACAGATTCAATACGAAAAAATGGTTTGATAATTAATTAATATTATTTTAGAATTTATAAGGTTTATTAAAAATAGTATTAATCAGTTTTATACTTTATATAATTAGTTATGTGATTTAGAAGAAGTTTTAAAAGAGAATATTCAACATCAAAAAGAAGAAATAAAATCTTTACTGAATCAGGTAATTCATATTTTTCTTTATAAACAATAATTTAAAAGGTTTTTAAAATTATAAAAAATTTCTTTTGTATTTTTCAGATTGAAGTTTTAACATTTCGACTTTATTCCATTGAAGAAAGGAAGAAATCAAAACTTAATTTTGAAGTAAGAATTTTAATTTAATTTAATTTTATTTTATTAAAAAAAATTAAAAGAAAAAAATCATTTTGGCGTTAATAATAAATCTAATTTATTTTAAACAATAAAATACAGGTTGTCCAAAAGTCAATTCACCGAGATATATTACATTAAAAATGTCTTGGTTAATTGACTTTTCGACCTCCCTGTATGATGTAAATATCTTAATTTATATAAAATTCAGTTTAATTAATGTACTTTTTTTTATTAATAGGACATCAGGAGTTGGTTAAATGAAGACTTTAACGAGAATTTATTAAATAATTAAAAAATATATATAGTATTTAAAATAAAATATGAAAAAATTGCTGTTATTGTATGTAATTTAAATATAAATTGAAATTAGGGTGAGATTGAGAGCCCCATAAGGTAACCAGATGACAACAAATAAAAAAGAGGACACTATTCTAAAATGTATAACTCAAGTTTTTTTTATAGTAAACTGTTAAGAAACACGGGAAAATCAACATATTAATTGTGAAATTTTTACATGCCCGTTTGCAAAAACACTTAGAAATCCTTAAAATATGGATCAATAATGTGAAAACTTTTCGCGGATACCGGACAAAATGTATGATATGCCCGGATAAAAAGAAGGCATCTAGTCATTATACAGTATATAAGTACTGTATATATGATAACTTATAATCTCATACTTAATATTATACAATGCCTGGATCAGTAAGGCTGTTTGACCGTAAACTAGACAAAGTAGAGCCCCCAAAATTTAGTCTTTTATATATAAAAACGCGACAAGAAGAGAGGATTTTGTAGAGGGATTGGGCCTCATTCCTGTTAATATAAACGATAGGAAAATGTATTAATTATGTCCTTTTTTTTATCTCTTCCATATATCTGTATACGGCATTTAATATCCTTTGGAGTTAAAAAATAATTCGAATTTCTTTCCAATCTTAACAAAAACGTCGATTTAGATTGAATGATTATTTTAAGAGAGCATGAAATTGAATTTCTAGAAAGTCTGTTAAGGGATCAAAATAGGATATTCGGTATAAATTCGAAAATTCCCTTATATATTCTTATTATTTTTTACATCTAAATCTCGACTTTCGTATCTCTTCTACCATTAAATCGTATCTTCGTCTTCCAACATCCGATCCTAATCGATAAAGACGTGTGACATAAATGTTAATTTTTCTTAGATAATTTTATAATTTTTAGAATATTTTACTTACTATAAACAGTGTGTAAATTCGACCTTAATAATACGTAATTTTGCGGGTTTAATTGATAAAATGTAGAAAAAATAATGGATTTCTTGGAAAGATTAAGGGAAAAGTTAATTTATAATTTATTTTATTAATAAGAGATTTTAAAATTACATTTTTAAATTAATATTTTAAATTAAAACAGGATGGACTTCCTACGAAGAAAAGAGGAAAACTGATAGAATTATCATTGAGTTTTTTTGTATATAGAATAAATAGAAGTATATATAACTTGTTATAGTATATATAAAATATTCTTGATAATTTAAAAATAATTTTAACATTTATATTTATATTTAATTTTAATTATAGAAATAACATCGATTTTCTATACATTTTCATCGTTTTCTTTAATGTTTTACTTCATTTTTCAATTGTTTCAATTTATTTTCCAACTAAAATTTATTAATAATTAATAAATATAAAATAAAACATTCAAAAATAATATTGTTTTATATTATTTTAAAATATTAACATTAACAATGAATTTAAATTCGTTGAATAAATTATTACCGAAGGGTTTAATAGCGCTTTCCTCATTTCTAGACGATGCATTCTCAAAGATAACATTTTCACCTGTAAAATAAATATTTCGATAGAATAAATAAGCGCATCTGTTAGTAAAAATAACATTAATTTTATAGGGTAGACTATGGGGCCCTTAAGTTTTCTGTGGATACGGAGAAAAATCCCCAGCTCTTCCTTCCTCTTCCCTCTCTCTCCACATTATATAATACATTTGCAGGGGTTTGTATATAAATATATGTTTATGTACGAATACTCTACCCGCTCTCTTAAATCTTGTAAAATTTCCAATTTCTCTTCATTAAAATCATCCAAACTGATTTTAAGCATTGATAACTAGGAAGAAAAAAGTGTAAATTATATAATGATATATTAGTATAGAATCAATTTTCGATTATATATTTAAACATACCTTTTCTTCGCATTTATTTTGAATCTGAAAAACCTAAAAAAAAAAAACAGTTAAAATTTTTAAATGTTTAGTATATAATTTAGTATTTAAAAGTTTTAATTAATTTCTACCCAGTTTAAACTGTATCTTAAGGCAAAAATCTCAATGTTATTGAAAGAAATTACCTCTTGCTCGAGAAATTTTAGATTTTCTATGTTGCTATTTTCAACCGTTTCGGTTCCATTCACGTTTTTATGATTCTAAAAATGTAATAAAAGAGCTTTAATATAAATTTTACTTACAATTTCATTGCATAAATTTCGGAAAAGTTTAGCGGATGACAATAAAAAAAAAAAAAATTCTCTCCCTCCGTCGTAAAACGTTAGAATTATTCGGAATAAAATATTATTATTATTATTATTCCTCAAGTATTTTTTAATATATAATTTAAAATAATATTTTGTACTCAGACTTATTTTTGTACAAAATAATNGATGACATATGTGTTTATTGCTTTAACTGTGTGTTTTGCATTTAGCTGTGTTTTGAGAATGGCATTTAACCTACTTTGGTATTCTTTAATTAATATTTGCTTTATTTGTGTATGTTCTGTGAGTTTGGCCTGTTGGAATCCTAAATATTTGTAGAACTCGCCCTCTTCCATGGATTCAATAACTTCTCCATTTCCAAGTGCAAAATCTTCTTTTTTTCAGGATTCCTTTTTCTATGTAAAGTGTTTTGCATTTGTCTAAGCCAAACTCAATTTGTATGTCCTTGGTGTATGAATGTGTGATTTGTAGGAGCTGCTGAAGTTGTTTTTGTGTGGATGCATAAATTTTTATGTCATCCATATACATGAGATGTGACAGCGTAAACTGTGTTGTTTTTTCATGTCTGATATTGTAGCCATAACATGTGTTGTTTAACATGTTGGATAATGGGTTCAGGGCTAGGCAGAACCAGAGAGGACTCAAGTAATCTCCTTGAAAAATTCCTCGCCTAATGAATATTTCGTTTGTTTGTATGGAAGTGTTACTAACCCTGAGATGTAGTGTTGTTCTCCAGTGCTGCATAGTGTTTTGGAAGAATGCAATGAGTGATGGATGTATTTTGTACATGTGTAGA